TGGTTCATACCTGATAATCCATAGACGTCAATAATATTGTATTCAAAGAAACTAATACGACTAACTGGGTGATTTTTTATTGTTTTTTCTTTAAGTAACATTTCGTTGTTCGAACTAAAAGTTCAACATTTCTACAAGAGCTCTTTTTTACTTTCCTTTTTGAAGAGATAACCCTCTGAAATACAATTTAAACAAAGTCAATCCGATTTTCCAAGACATATTTTCAACATTATGTCAATGCTGAACTTTTATCGTACGAATTAAAGTTGATATGATAAGTTATGATGAAGACTATGATATAGGAGAATCTTGAAATCTGCATCATACAAAATAATAATCATTTTTAATTCATAGATGTTCAATAGAAGCAAAAGTATTAGTATGATGAATAATTTTTTAAAATATATTTCGTTCACTTGGATAATTTTTCAAAAGTACAATACAATTGGTTGACGAAGAATCACAAAAAGTACACAGCGAAAATTTCAAATTACTATTTTTTGTTTGAAGGTTGTACTTTAATCTTTCTGTATCAAATTTAATCTGATAACAAAGTATTACACACCACTATTAGTTTCCGCATTGTCGATTAATAAATAAATGAATATTGCGTACTTGTCAACAGTACACTAAAAGTAGCCATATTTCATCATCTATCCAAATATTGACGTAGGCACAAAATAATGAAAGAAAAATATTCGATTCGACTGGAATAAGTACAAAAACTTAGTTGTCAAACAATAAAAGCATCATCAACGTGTATTGAGACCGAAGACATCTCAGTATGACTGTACAATGTTGGATTCTTTTTTTGCGTTTTCGTTTATGAACTCAATATTTAGATAAAAAATAAAAGTTATTCTGCTTTATTTTGTCACGTAAAACATCATTCTTAATCTCGAATTGTCTTTCTAATTCTAATAGACAATCTTTTCTTACGATCATTGATGAAAACAAAGCAAGACCAAATCTTATTTGATTCGAGGCAAATATCGGTTCAAACAAAGAGATATTGAATATACAAAACAAAAATATTAATGTCATATTTCAAATCGATCTACTACTATCGGCCACATTCATTCAATCAACTAACACAATAAAAGAAAAATATTCTCAATCACATTCGGGTCTCCCACTTTACAATTATATATTACATGTAACTAGTTTTTGCCAAATTGATTCTATACTTATTTCTTGCACCAAAACAAAAAAGAAATGCGAAAATAATAGACATCTAGATCGATATCGATGCATTGTTTACAATCAGTTCGAGAGCAAATTGATTTCATTCATAAACAATTAATAGTATTCAATTTCTTCGATTAACAAAAGAAACTTAGAAAATTTTTGGCCAACGATTCTGCCTAGTTTATTTGATTTTCATCTTTCAATCATGTTATCTTTCATCTTCCACTTAGGCAATAAGCAAAACAACAAATGATTGATGTTTATTCACAATATTATCATGATAATGGTAAAGAACTCTAAACTGATTGATGAATTCAAACGTGATTATCGATCAGATGAAACTATTTGTTGCCATTCAAAGTAATCATTTCTCAAGATATGGATGAATAAAATATTTTTTTACTAGTAATTTATTAGAAAATCTGAAGCTTAAATATAAAAAGATGTTATTATAAAAAAAGGACGAATGCTGTCTGTTTAAATGAAGAGTGTGAAACTAGATCACTAACAATTCGATAAATTATAAGAAAACTTAGTTAAACTATATTGTTCACGGATCAATATATATTAACAAAAAGCGAAGTTGCTTACAAACACATTCTTTTGTAATCTAATCTACGAAACAAACTGACAGAATATCTGTTTTTATTCGAAATGAAATATAAGATAGAAAAAATTTATTAAATATTCTATTTTTAATGATATTTCTATATTGAGTAAATATTCAGATACAGATATTTTCTTAAATTTAACAGGTGCTTTTCGAATGCCAAGTATTTAATGAGGTAGACCAGTGTATTTTATTATAATGACCACATCAAGTAATAGAAAAACTATCACAGAAGATTGTTTGAAAGAGATACATTAACAAACAGAAGAGAAAAATTTGAACTTGGTTTTTAAAAGATTTATGTATCCTATGAGCGATTATGAAAAAATTTCAGAAATATTTTCAACGATTCTTAAATGATCTGAACAATGAAGTTTTTGCTCGGATTAAACACAATATTGGTCGAGCTCTTCGATTCAAAAAATGAATGACAATAAACACAAGAATATTTTAATTATGAATATGCTCGAACGATGAATGTGAGATCATCATCACGTCTGAAAGATTTTGCTTTTCTGCTGAATCATATTAACGTTATTTAATATCAGAAAACAATATAATGTGACCCTTGATTATTGTCAAAGAATATTGTAAATACACAAAAACTATTTTTTATTTTATCATATTGACACTGTCACTAGCTTCAACAACATTAGTCGTATTCTGCATGAACAAGAAATATAATATGAAGTTTTTGAGTACCATCGAAAGATTTTCAAAATATGAGAGAAGTGTCATCACATCTAACATGCTGATGTTGCTTCTAATCTCAACAATATTGGTAGCATTTTTACTGACGAAAGAATATACTTTTAAGACTTCAATTATGATTAAATGATGATTAATATGCAAGAGATATATGAGCATGTCAACATAGATGACTGTTTGAAGAATATTCGAAATGACTTACGAGAAAAAGTGCAAGTCACAAATAACTCTCGAATTTTATGAACGACTATTAGCTAACTACAAGAAAGTTTTACCCTCGTTAGTACACAGATCAACGGATGGTTGAGCGAAATATTCGTTGTGTCATAAGACCGCAATAAATTTATGATGATCATATTTCAGAATACAATCGTCATAAGGTTAAAGAAAATTCTTTTAATGCGTAAACTTGATTTCTTTTTGGGTCATGAATTCACGCATCTACATATATATATATTGTAGAAATGAAATTTACTGTTCTAAGCAATAAAGACACATGACATTAATTCAGAATAACTGCATACTTGATGGATTTATCGGTCTACGCTACATCTGAGATTTACTAATTAATATTTTTCAATCATTGTTTGCTTTATTATGAAAATAAAAGAAGGGAAGAAGTTGATTCATTCTATTATGTATTTTTACTTAGACTTTATTACTGCTGCATGTGCAAAACAGTAATGACTATGTGGTATTCATACAAAAGATTAAGAAAGAGAGAGAAAGAAGTCAAAAGTTTTGAGAATCATTTTTTTAACATCAATTTTATTGTTGTAGAATTAGTATTCATATTAATAGACTATCTTAAAAATCTTCTAGGCTAGGTTTCATTTTGGGAAAAATTTCTTTCTTAATGTCTTTCCGATAATTACAAAAAAAAAATTCCGATTGGTCAAATTCAATATGTTCGATATTATCAAACACATTAATCTTTCTAGGAAAATGACATTGGAAAAAATTTTCTTTTATCACTACTAATAGTTCTTTATCCATTAAATTGATTGCTATCATTAATAATGATTATCTCTGAGTATACTACCTTCTCATAATAATAAATTAAACCTATTGAAAATTTATCCTTATTGGAACTTCTTTTTTCATGTGCTTGACATGCAGAGACTTCCAGATGTGTCCATATCACATAACTTTCTTTCGATAGACAAGCATTTGAATAATTGTATGATTTATGTTCACATTTAAAGCAGTTCATTCGCTGAACTGATAAATATTATATGAACGAACACACTTGAAATAATGAACTGGAATAAAATAATAAAATCTTTTCTGCTCAAGATGAAAGAATGTTCCTTGCCATTGAGGAAGTGTAGATCTATTTACTCATATAGATTTCCTTTTTAGTCTATGTGTTACAGACTTGGTTATTTAAACTGTGAGTTTTTATTATTATTCAGAGCATTTCAAATGTAAAACGGAAGAAGAAAAAAACGAAAAGCACATATAAAACATAACTAAAATCAGTTTCATGTATAATAGATATCGGTTTCGCAGTTGTGAAAGATGATCGAAACCAAATGAAATATTATCATCGCTAGCTTGCGATGGTAACCAACTTTCATTATTAAGTCTGTGCAACTCATAATGTTTCCCATGAAGTATTTCGTTTGTAATCAGTTTTTCATGCTCTTGAACAAGAAACTGAGGCATCTGAGTTCACCAAAAGGTCTCAAGATGTGTCCATATCACACGACTTTCTTGATCAGGATACTCGAAAAGCTTATGGGGATGAAAAAAAAGGTCCACTAGGGATATTTGTTATAGCTTTATGTAGTGGTGTAAATAAGGGTTGGCTAAGCCTGGCATCGCCCTGTCATCAGAAGAGAGAAGAGAAAAATATAATAATTACCACTTTACCAGTAAAGGGATGAATTACATTCAAGATTGAAGGACATTCTCTTAGCATCCACGATCTTCTAGTTACGCCACTAGTTTTATGCTTTAATAGAAAAGATATGATTAAACAGTATAAACAATGACGTTATTATTTCGTACAAAATGAAGGACTCATAGATGATAAAAATAACTATACTAAATAAATAAAAAAAGTTATCGAAGATTCTTTTCATTAACGTATATTTAATTCATGTTTGCCTTACGATGCTTATAGCAGAATAGTGATAATCATAACAAAAGCATTTTCATGAGATGGCGCTATTATACGATAAACTTATCTATCAACATTTTTGTTGTAAATCTACATATTTGTAGTCATATATTACTAATTTGTGAATATTTTTCTTTCGTAATTTTCAGAAATTTATATCATCACCTTTTATAGAGACGAAAGTATCTTGTCAATGTTTCTTGGTTTTGTTGTTGACGATTGATCGGTTATTCTTCCTCTTCTTCATCTAGGATTTTCTTTTTGTTTATTTGTCGTTCTTCTGTCAGCGGTCAAAACGTGCATATTGACCTTATATTATCATTTTTTCAGAAAAATTGTTTTCTCTAAACAAACGAGAAAAAACAGAAAATGTCATCAAATAGTGCATCTCCTGTTGCCACTGAATCAAATGGTCCATTATCGTCAGGTATTTCATTAACGTCAACAACAGCATGTGATGATCGCACATGTTCAACAGCTAAATGTGCATTATGTCTTCATTGTTCTCAACAATATTGTTTTGTTCATTTTCTTAAACATAATGAACAATTATCACTAAATGCTTATAATTTTACATTAGCTATTGATCAACTTGGTAAAAATAAAATTTATCTTTAATTAATATAAATTTTATTTTATATATTGAGTAGAAGATCAAATAAAAAATTTAAAATTAGATGAATCACTTCGTCGAACAATACATTCCCTTGATCAATGGCGTAAAAATTTAATACGAACAATTGAATATGTTTATCAAGAAAAACTTTCATCAATTAAATCAAATTATATACAATTAAGTAATTATTTACAACAATTTCAATTTGAACAATCATCACATATACAATCATTACGAATTGATCTTGAACAAATGAAATTTATTCGTAGTACCTATGGTTTGTTCTTATTAATTTTGTTTTTGTATACGAAAACAAAAACAAAACGAATCAAAATATCTTTGATAATTCATATTTTTGTTTTATTTTTTAAGATCAAGAAATGGAAAAAATTCAAACAACAATAAAACAATTACAAAAAAATTTTTCTGAACTTCAATATGATTTACATTTAAAAGAACGTCAAACACCAAATATATATGATTCAATTGAATGTGAAATTATATGGAAACGACATCGAATAGATGATATACAAACATCAACAACTGTTGATATAATTGAAGATGATGAAGATACAAATACTGGTACAAATCATGATGATGAAGATGTTCCTGATTATTCAACAACTGGTACACCACCACCATCAACACCAAGTCCAACATCATATGAACAGTGTTTACTTTCATTTCTTGTTGGAAATGATTCAATAACGAATAGAGATGAGAAAATAATATCATCAGATGTGAAAAAAAATTTACCAAATAAAAAAAATCTATTAATGGAAAAAAAACAAACAAATAATACAACATCAACAATAACAACAATGTTAAATAATAATAATAAAAAGAGAAGAATTTGTATGAGTTGTGGAAAATGCTAGTAAGTTATCAAACATTCAATTCTCAACTGAGCGGAAATCATAAGATTTTCTTCTTTAATGACAAATTCAAGAAAGGAAATATTAACATTTATTCGTAGCTTTATCAGCATTATATACAGTTTGCTCAATGTTATGAGGGAAGTCTCTTAATTAGTAAGCTGCTTTAAAGTTGTCACTACATGCATTATGTACATCCAAATGAGCTATAAATATTTTGAAAAGACTTTGTGCCCTTAGCTTATGGCAGTGACGTATCCAGGATTTTTCAGTATGCTGAATCTTGACTTTTGAGCATGGGACCCAAATGAAACTCATAGAGGGTGATGTTGAGTCTAAATGATGAAATTTTATCAAAAAAAATTTGCATTCGGAATTTGCGAAAAAAATTAGCATTTTCCTGATCCCCCCTTCTAGGATTTTTTACTGTTAGTATTATCTTGGATTTTAGAATTTCATAGGAAGCTATACCGAATTTCATCGACAGATTTTAAATTCCGTCTAAAAATGTGCAACCGTTCAAGAGTTAGGATGTTTTGAAATTTCGAAAAAATTGTTTCCACATGTGGCAAAAATTCAAAAAGTTATAACTCTTGAACGATTACATATTTTTAGACGAAATTTGAAATTTGTCGATGAAATTCGGTATAGCTTCCTATGAAATTCTAAAAATTAAGATGCTACTAACAGCAAAAAATCCTAGGAGGGGGGATCAGAAAAATGCAAATTTTTTTCGCAAACTCTGAGTGCAAATTTTTTTTGATAAAATTTCATCATTTGGACCCGGCATCATCCTCCATGAGTTTCATCTGGGTTCCTACACTCGGAAGTCGAGATTCAGCATACTGAAATATCCTGGATACGTCACTGCGGGACGTTATAATGTTTCCTTCATCTTTCAAAGGATTAAACGTCCAGACGAACGAGAAGAAAGAAACGTGTATTTTGTCATTCCCATTTCGTGTATCGAAAGAAGTAAACAGATTTTCTTTCGCGTTTGACTACAGTGATTTGTTGACATGATTACATTCAAACGTCATATTAATGCTTCATTGCTATCCGATGCTGATAGACAATTCTACAATATTGACAAACGAATCTCTAATCATGATTATTGTGAAACTTTAAAGTAACATTAAAGATGTTACAAACTGATGCTTTATGTAGAAATTATTGTAGTCTCTGGACTAGAGCCCGTCAAGTCCAAAAATTTTGTATCCAGATCCGAACCCGATGCGTGTTCATAATATTTTTAATGAAAATTTTTAATTCTGACTTAATAATTTTGTGCCGAAGATCAATACTTTTTTCAAGTATTAATACTTAGAAACTAGAACATCCTAAAGATTTCTCAGAGACTTTCAATGGTAATCTCATAAGATTGAAGTCATAATTGGCTATTGGTTTTAGAGTAGCAACTATCAGGGCAGATTTGGACCCGGTCGATAGAAAATTTTCTGATCCGGGTCTTTTCGACGGACTCTATTCTGAACTCCCGGAGTGCATGGAATTCAGAAAGTATCAGGAATAGATCTTTTCTCCCCTTGATAAGATCACACTATAGATGTTTGTGTAGTATTACATCGACAGTGACAGATACATCGTCAGCATTACATAGAAGTCTTAGTAGTATCGTACGAGACTTACTTAAGAAGGTTACGAACCAACCCAGAAGCATTACTTATAAGAGGATTATCGAAAAGTTTTTGAACAGAATTTTTGTTCACTTTTGATCAGCTAGAAAGGATTTCAAAGATCAATAAATTAGTGCAAATTGTTCATTTTAGTTTGCTTGAAAGTATTTCAAAACGAGTCAAAATCTATAGATCACGACCAGAATTTTGTGTCCTCTATGAATATATGCTTAGAAAGTCTGAAAAATTATTTGTAGTAGTGCATCAACACGTTTTTGGTTTATACTATAAGCCCCTGCCGGTCGTTTTGTTGAGCAAATACTTAATCAAAACTAAGAGAAAATTTCTGAGTCCATATCCAAAAAGCGAATAAAATTTTACTTCTAATTCATGACTTTTGACTCGTCGGAATACATTCTAGGTGCTCAAAAGTTAACAAACATTCTCTTCAAAAACTTTTCAATCACATGTTATATAGGCTTTTAGTCGTTGAAAAATTAATAAAACAATAAAAATATATATAACAAAATGTTCTAAATATATTTAATTATGATAAATGATAAGTTTTGATTTAGTTGGAAAGCAAATGGAGAAATTCGTTCAATTGAATCGAATATATCCGATACACGCTTAATTGGATGTTTGAATTTAATTGCATCAATACCATTTCCTCAATCAACTAAAAAAAATGACCAAGATCAATATGAAGTTTGTTAAAATAATTATTTAAATAATTTATATTTTGTTAATTTAATTAGAAATCTTTATCAAAAAATAAAAAATATCAAACAACAACAAAAGAACATTATGATCAAATTGAATCGATGACACCTATTAAAAAAATTCTTCATGAACAAGAACAAGAACAAGATCAACAAAAACAAATTGAAATTAAATCAGGCGAACAAACCACACAACTTTCAATTGATTTTCAAATTCAAAAAGTATATTTACTTTGAGTTAATGAAAAGTTCTGCTTATGAAATTTGAAATTTTACAAAACTCTTACAATTGACGTATTTGTGTTGGATATTAATAAGACTGGATATAGACGGAGATATTCAAATTTTAAGGTATTTATAGTCTATGTAAAAGTGTCCACAATTGAAAATTTGAATAGAATTTATTTTGTTTTTTCTTACCGGTTGAATAGAGCTCGTTGAATTTGAAAAATTTTGTTTATTCTATTCAGGTTTTCAATTTATAGCCACTTTACACAAACTGTAAATATCATACAATTCGAATATCTTCGTCCGAACACGCCGTCAAGAGTCGCTCATATTTTCAATTTGTTAGTTTGTTTCTGAGACCTTTGATTGACCCGAATATATCTAATCCTATTGACTTACAATAAACACTTCCATTATTAGTATCGAAAGTTTTATTGCATGAATATATATTCGAATGCCTCATCTATAATAATGTTCTTAGAACTAATCAAAAATTCTGATAACATCAAATAAAAAGATCTGAAGAACGAGATACAAGGTTATCCGAAAAGTCTGTGCAACTTCTATACTATGAAACCACAGGATTAACTAAGCGCTGCATTTATTGAATGTAATGAGCTTCGCTAGCAACTACATATAGATGTGTCGTTGCTAGCGAAGCTCATTAAATTCAGGAAATATAGCACTTGTTATTCTGCGATTTCATAGTATAGAAGTTGCACGGACTTTTTGGACAACCTTGTATCTCGTTCTTCAGATATTTTTATTTGATTCTATAAGAACTTTTCAAATCGAAAACTTGGTTCGACTCGAAAGGGTCTATTCAACTATTCGAATACTCGACTAATCATTATGATCCAATCTTGCTGATTCTCAACTATCCACATTTCTATCCATGGGCGGGCCGGCATAGGGGCGAGAGGGGGCAATTGCCCCCCCTCTAAAAAAAATTTTTTTGGCTGGGACTTAAGAAGAACGCCATGAAAACAAGCGTTTTTAAGCGAAAAAGTGCTTATTGCCCCCCCTGAAAATTATGGTCCGGCCCGCCAATGTTTCTATCATCTTGACTCCTTGGTCTACGCTCATGATGTCTGCTCGAATAATTAGAATATTTGAAACAACTCTTTGAATTTTACATATCTAGAACTTTTGATCAGTCCTAAATACATTATTATAAACGAGGCATCCCAATAATATATTCATGCAATAAAACTTTCGATGTAAAGTGTTATTATAAAAATTTCAAATGATATGAGCAGAACTTTTGGTTAATTCAAATTAATATTTTTTCTTTAAAATAATTTCGATTTATTAATTAGATCGAACTATTACTTAAACGTGCATTATTAGATTTAACTGATTATACCGAAGACTTTTTACATATTTATTTTCAATCAATCTTCGCAACAACTAAAATAAAAACATTTGATATTGAATCTAATATTTATTTAGAAGATTTAAAAATAATTGATGAACAATTTGAAACAAATGAAAAGAATAAATTAAATATATTATCATCTTCAAATAAATCAAAATTATTTGAAATGAATTGTTTATTAACATCAACAACAAATCCATTATTTTCTTCATCACCTTACAATTCAATTGAAAATAATATTAATTTACAATTAAATAAAGCTTTATTAAATATTCATTTAGATTCACTTTCATCAATTATTAGATTTAAAAATAATATTTTTAAACAATTAAATAATAAATCAAATTCTTCAAAAGTTAAACAAACATCATCTTCTACTTCTACTACAAAATCGAATTCATCATCATCATCATTTAAAATTGATTTTCTTTTGGAAGGAATTTCTCTTTTAATTGGAAATAGTTCTTCACAAATTCTTTATATTGAATTAGAAGATTTTAATGGTTATTTATCTAAAACAAATACTCATATATTATCTCATTTAGTTCTTAATGATCTTGTTATATATGATGCTTTTAACAAGTCAATTTATCCATTTATTATTTCCAAACAAAATAAATCAAATAAATTACTTTCATTTGATTTATCATTATTTAATTATTCAAATAAACTTATTAAATCATCAAAAACTAAAAATTCATTTCTAAAAGGACAATTAGAAAAATTAAATATTATTTTACTTTATAAATATCTTGATCTTATTTTATCAATAATTAATTCATTTCAAACAAAACAAAATACATTAGAACAAGAAGATGTTTCATCAAATGAACCAAATTTTCTTCCATTAATTTTACAAAAATATCAACAACATTCCATTGAATTTCATATAGATTTTATATTAAACGTTCCTCAAATACTTATTCCAGTTAATTCATATTCAAATCAAGCTATTCTTATTGATTTGGGAAAATTATCAATGCATTCAGAATCAAATCAACAATATAGATTTACATATGAAAATCTTTCCATCAATCGTATTATATTAAATGATGAAAATAAATCTCTGAATTTATTACAATGTTCACCATTTCAAACATTAATTAATCGATATTTTAATTCCCATAATAAAGAAATTTACGTTGAAATTTTCTGGAATACAATTCAATTTAATTTATCCAAATATGATTATGCTTTTATTAATAAAATATTGCAAGAAAATTTTCAAGAAAAAATTTTTCATAAAATTCCACAAATTCAAATTACTGAACAACAAGATCAAGATAACGAACAAAATGATTCATCATTTAAACTTCTTCCGAAAAAACAATCGACATCAAATGAAATTCCATTAAATATTCGATTAGATTTTCAAATCAAACAAATTGATTTAACACTTTATCTCGATGAAATAGATCTTAATAATTCTCAACTATCTAGAAATGAAAATGATAAATTTGTTTATTTAACAATTCAACTTATAGAAGCACAATTTAAACAATCAACGAATATAAATTATCAGGGAAAAATACAAATTCAACATTTATTTGCAGATAATCTTAGACAAAATAGCCAAAACAAGAATTTTGTACGTCTTATTAATAAAGGTTTTAACATTGATCAAAATGCACCATTACTTGTTGCTACTCTAGAAAATAAATCATCTAATCGCACAGGTAAACAACTTTTCTTTCTATCAGTATCACCTTTTCAACAAATCGGAGATTAATCACATATACAAAAAGATACTTTTAATAATTGTTCGATTATTGCATTCAACTTAAATCATTTATTTCATCTATCCCCAACTTGTTTATTACAGTTTTCCTATCTATCATATAGAAGAACAACAAGTATACAGGCTCGATAAATACATATTTTTGTCATTGATAGATATTATTTTTCAATATCAAATAACATTTTTAAACATAAGTCCATTATTAGAACATTGATCTCTAGAAAGTAAACAAACTGAATTCGCTGTTTGAATGTTTTGATTTATAATAGTAATAACGTCAGCATCGAGTTGAACAGTTTCTTCATTTTTCAAATTTTTTTCACTTTCATCTTATTTTAAAATTCATATTCATTGTTTAACCTTATTTTTGTGTTACTTTTTCAATAATATAAGTGAATTTTTGAAGATCTTGAATACTATGGTACTTCACGATTAGATCATCCGTATACATTTATTTTGAGAATATCAAATTGTTTTTACTTCTCACGATTATAATACCAAAAAATCATTACTATCATAAGCTAACTGTAACAAATTTTCTATGATAGAACGTTTGTAACCGCTGCTGCAGCATTTATTTTATTGTGATTACAATGACAAACGGGAGCAGTAGTATTACCACTGTCCTCAGTATACGATGTTCGCTTTACTACTTCATCACTCAGTTGTGTTTATTTCACATAAAACACAGATTTTTATACGAAAGAGAGAAATAAAAAAAGATAAGACATCAGTGACGTATCCAGGATATTTCAGTATGCTGAATCTCGACTTCCGAGTGTAGGACCCAGATGAAGCTCATGGAGGATGATGCTGGGTCCNAGAAGCAAAAAAAGCTGATCACCGAATTCGAATATGATATTCCTACTTCCAAGGTCTTATCATTTTCAACTGTACATCATTTCTGAGAACTGTGCATATTAAATATAAAAATAAAACCTCTATTGTTCAAATTGTCTTCTAAACGGCAAAATCGAAACCTTTGGTTTGGTTTTGACATTAACACATGTTTGTCCCAGAGTTGTAATTCGATGTCGACTTTTCTTCGGTAGAACATTTTCAGAGAAAATTTGAGTGCTTTTATCAAAATAATAAAATTATGTTATTTCTAAATATTAATTCTTTGTTTAGTTTTTTTTCTTCGCTGCTTTTTATCTCTCTAATCAAGTTGTTTTATTTTTATTTTGCAAAAACTACCATAGAAACTGGCTTAAGTGGGTTTGTCTTCTTCATTTACCCCATTGGTGTTTTATTAGTGATCGGACTTAGCATATAGTTGTTTTGTTTCAACATGAGGTTTCAGACAATATAACCTGTTTCCGTACTGCAGTAATATTACACATTGTACTTTTGTAGTGCTTATATATATACAAAGAGTGCAGTTTGATCTTTCTCTGTCAAAAGTAATAAAAATTCGATTAGAAAATTTTCTGAACTGGTTCGAAAATTCTAGATCGGTTACACTCTAATCCATTTTTCTTTCCGCTTATTGCTTCTGAATTATTTCTACTTGGTGTTTGCGGTAATATTTAGCTTTCATGATTTGCTGCTCATATTATCACTTTTTTCTCTGTCACTCACTTGCATGTACATGCATAACTGGATACAAATATATATGGTACAGGTGTATATTACTTCGATGGCATTAGTACTTTGTTGTTCGTTCATAGCGCAATTATGACGAAAACAACATAAATTATCCTCTCCTATTTTCTTCTTTGTCATCCAAAGATATCTCTCTCAGTGCGTGAACACTCACTCTTCACTGTTTTCCTCGTAGGATTGTTCGTTTCTTGCCTATTCTCTATTCTATTCAATAGTCTGATGACCTTTATAAAAAAAAAAAGAGATGAATAGTTTAAACAGACAGATTCAAGAAAGGAAAAAACAAACAAATAAGAGGCAGTAAACATAATTGCAACCTTCTTTGAAAAACTCGTCGCAGTGGATATCGTTTCCTTTTTTCTCATTAAGTTTTGCCAGTTAGTTTTCTTTGCTTGTAAAAAATTCAGCCTTGTTGATTATGTTCTTCTCTATTCTGAACCTACAATGGTATCGGAAGAGAAAGCACTAAAACGCTTTTTTTTAGAGACTCTATCCTTTAGATTTAGTTATTCTTGAACTGTCCTGACTTACTTTAAAAAGACGTTTGGTACTAATTTCGAACTCACCGTAATACAGTTTACGTTATGATGAGTGTATCAATGAAAGAAATGAATATATATAAGAATGATTTATCTCGCACAGGAGTACATCTATTGTTAATTTGCTCCAGAAACCGAGTGGGTTGATTTTATTTGCTGTGCAAATCAGTATAAAACAGCAGTGAACATGAGAATCTTTTTATAAATGTTCACGACAATAAACAAACCATGTTATTACACAAGAATTGAATTCTCATCTTCTTTCAGTATTTTGTGCGTTCAAGATCGTCTTAGATTATTTCTTTGCGTAAGTTACGCCTCGTACAGGCGCTTTTAGCAATATATTAAGATATTTTCATTAAATCTTCCAGTACACTCACAATCTAATAATTTGTGTCAATCACAGACTTACTTGTCAACATTTATCTTTCTTAGACTTCAGACTATTTTGCCAAATTTGAAACAAACTTACAAGAAATTTTTCTAAACAGTAGAAACATATTACTCTAAAGATTGTTTGCTTTTGACAATGAACATTTTTATTATAGAGGTTTTATCTTCATTTATAATTGTATTTCTTTTCGCTCTATGTTCTCCTACTAGTAGTATCAGTCACTGATATTCTTTGCGTTTTCGGCGTTTCTTTCTTTTTTTGGTTCGTTGATTTTATGTTCTTGTAATGAGTACAATCATATTCAAAACCAATGTTAAAGCATATCCCTTTCCAGCAAATAGGTAAAACAATCTGTGACTATGCCGAAGTCAATAAAGCCATTCTGTCTCAATAAAATCTTTGCTGGAGAAGCATTTTCTCAATTGATTTGAAAGAAAACGCCACTTTTTCTCTCTTAAATGCTAGAAATATTTTTTTCTGGTTTTTAGAATAGCGATATTCCTATATCAGGTGTATCGATTCCAAGCACATGAATGATAAAGATGTTGCAAAATCAGGAAAACACATGAAAAATTTCGTGAGGCGAGAAGGTAAAAGCTTATTCGGTTAACCTTTGATAGACAACTGATTTTTTTTTTGTTTTTTTAATATAACATATGATTGAATCTGATTACCTCTTAGTAATAAAAGAAGAAACACACCAAACAGTCATTCTGTTGTGGTATTATTAACTATGTTAATTAAAGCTGACTTTTTCCATATTTGAATAGACTTCAAATATGGTCAATTGTTCCAAACTGCTATTGTCGTCCTAATTAGCATTTGGCTCTTATCAACTTATGCTGATGCATAGTATATTGGTGGTTTTGATCTAAGTTCCCATTGGGCCGTCGATTCCTTCCACAGGTGATGTTTTTATGCAACCTTACGTCATTATGTTAACGAAGCTAACCGGTACTATTATGTAACAGACCACAATCAAGCTGTTTATCTCAATCTTGGTGCACAATATTTTTTACAAGGAAAGGGAAATAATTCTAACGCAGGTGTCCCAATATGTGCCTGCTATCGTAACTATTTCGATATGATAGCTAATCCAACTCAAATCGATTCACAAGACTCATCTTACTGGATACAAGACGCAATACAAGCTTATAATGCTGATATTCAACTCCTTCGCGAAAAATACTGTATTGATCAGTATACAGTAGATGAACAACAAATTGTCTACAAGTACCAAATTGATCAGTATATCGTAGAGGAACAACAGCTACGTGAATAAGTTTTGGCCTCTAATACACCTGTTGCATAAGATTTTTAAAAACACAACATGATGGACATGTGACTTCTTAATTGACTTTTTTTTCCTCATGTAATTCAATTATTCTATATTTATCCAAGTTTTATTTATATTTATTATTTTATTCTATTTCACGTATCAGTTATATGTACATGACCATGACTAGATATCTGATCCAATAAAGTAGTTAGCAGAGACAACAGTATAGACGTTTAAAATTTTCTTTTATTTTCAATAGCAACAGCTGAATATATATGTTTTCGATTCATTTGATTATTAACGATTACTGGAAATGTTGATAACTGAGCTAATTTATTAAACGTTAGAAAATAATGTTTAACTTTAAGTATGGATATGATAATTGTGTACAACTGTCATAAGAACTATTGTGATAGAGTCTGAAAATAAACGAAAATGTCGCCATATTGCTGTTATTTGTGGTATTGAACACGTTGAGTATCGATCTACGTTATTAGATTCAACTGAGTGGATTATGTCTAAGCTTAGAGTTTTAAATGCAAGGTCTTGAAGCAGTAGAGTAAAACCTTAATTGTACCGCTATTTTTCGCGTTTTCTTTCAATAAAAATCTCTATAACTGCTTCCACTTATTGCTTCAATTATTGTTTTAGTTAGTAAATGAGAGCAAACATTGTTTTACCTACTGATATGGCTTGCATTCAACAAGATTGACTTTGAAGACACAGTAATTGTCATGATACGAACTGCGTGCTATTTTTTTTTGTTTTGTTCACATTCCAATTCTACTTCTACAGCTATTTGCATTTCAAATCCAAAATGTTTATTCAAAAATGCAAGAGTTTGACAATAGGGGTGAGAAAGGTATTATTATTTTTTTGTTATTAATAACAATAACATTAGCCTTTTGATTAAAAAAAATCAATGAAAAAAATCTAAGCATAGTTCGTACGAACGTCAAAGGATCACTTTATTCATACAGTATCTTTTCATACCATTTGATATAAGAACTTGTCGTAAAGATTTTGAGAAACAGTAACACAGCATAATTTGTTATTGTTATTGTTATATAGAAATAACAATAAAAAATTATGGTATGTTAGCATTTTTCTCACCCCTATTTGACGAAGAAAAGATGTTGTCAGTGGAGAGAGTACTTTGTTTCGGTTGAAACTT